TCTCTCTCTCTCTCTATCTCTCTCACACTGTCACTCTGTGGTTGACATAATTTGGTTAGCTGTCACCAGGTTGTCACCTACAGTTTGTATCACTAAAAATATTAAGCTTGTGCTATGTAAGAAAATGCACTTTTGTTTAGTTTAGTTTCGTTTAGTATGATTTTTTTTCGGCGCTTGCAACAACTGCATAAGGTCACAATATGAGCGCGCGAAGCACAAGTTGGTTGCATTCACAACAGTTCACAGCACCGCTTGATTTTAATCAATATTTCAAATAAAATGTTATAAATTCGTGGTAAAAGTACTTTCCTAAGATTGAATAACCCATCTGAGTTGACATATAATAGCAGAATAGTACGTTGACGGATTGAAAAACGTTCTAATGTTTCACGATATTACTGTTGATGCAGTCTTTGTGATATACATGACGTACTGTTTAAATACCAATGTCTCGATCGAGGTGCCACAATCTCTCAACTTTTTCGACTCTACAGCAGTGAAAAAGGGGAGATAGAGAGAACTGTGAAGTAAGATGTGATAGAGAGAACTGTGAAAAAAAGACGTTCATTTAGCTGGGTTTTTTAATATTTTTTTAGCTTCGATACCTCACTTTTGTCTGGCTATTATCACACTACACGTACTCATTTATTCATATATTTTTTCCCTTTACTTTATTAAATTTTTTTTGCATTTATTGCTCAGAGCAAGTTTTTAAATTGCAGCAGAAACTGGCTCCAAGCTTTAAATGTGTGTTCCCCTAAACCTGTTTCGGCCTGTTTTCCTAGGTTGCTTGAATGGAACTGGGATACTCTTCTGGAGTAAGCATACTAGCCAGACACAACTATACAACATAACGCTAACCCGAAAAAAAGAAAGATAATAACATAATAATTATACAGATAGATAATAATAATAATAATAAAAGATAAAGGGAGCCACAAAGGACAGCTCAGCGGTTCTTATTTATCCTGTTGTTAAGGGGGATTATCACGAAGAAGAAGGTGACTCGTGGACAAACGTTGACGTTGCCATGGCAACGGGAGACAACTACACGTGCACGTTGAGCGAGGAGCAGCTGAGGGTGTCGAAGGAGGAGTTAAACGAGGACCCGGAGACCAGGGCAATTGAGGTCAAGACGCTCAGGCAGAGGCTGGACAAATATCCAGGTACGTTCTGATTGGGGGTAGGGGGAGGAGGGGAAG